AGCTCCGTGTCCGCCGGGAGGAGACTCAGTGCCCCCAGAGCAACGCGGCCTGAGCCCCGGCCCCCCGCCGGGAGCGCCCAGCGGCTCTCCGTGCGGCGCCGGGGACCATCCGTGCGGGAAGGCTCCGCTGGGGAGTCGAGACACAGCCTGTCATTAGCCCTCTCCAAATAAATCAATCCTGAGAGATTCAGGGAAACGGTTCAGGCGAAAAGGCTTTCAAGAACCGCGGAGGAGAAGCGCACAGGGAGTTAGTTCACTGTTACGCTCCTTCCTCTCCCTTTCTCCAAAAAGCACAAAACGCTTAAAAAGAGCCTTAGACAAGGGAAGAATTATCTTGTCTTTTCACGTAACGCTTGTGGGGACATACTGAAACTGTGTGTCATAATCCATCACTAGCAAGCTCTTTCAGAGCTGTCCTGAGCACATCAGCTTCTCACCACATGTCTTGGTTCACAGTTTTGGGTTTTTTTTCCCCCCTACCAAAACAAAAGGGCTTTTTATCCCGTTTGCTGCAACCTAAAATAAGATCAAACTGCAAATCTATCACTCCGCTCTCACTTGCGGCTTCACTAGAGGCTTCGTAACAACGCATATATGTTATTACACAGGGGGCAAAGCAATTCGTTAAGCAGAATCTTTTTCAATTTCTTCTCAGGAAAACATCTACTAGAGACGTTATCAGATTTCTCTCCTGCACTAGCAGCTTGCGGCCTGAAGGATCACAGCCTGGAAAAAGGATCTCGGCAGTAAACTGACGATTAAAGGCATGCTTCCCACTAAGAAGTTTATAGGTGGTGGCTTTTGGTTTATTCTCCATTAAAAGAGGTTTCGGGGCAGTAATTCATATAATCCATGAGAGGAACCGGAGAAAGGGGTTGGTCAAAGAAGAAAGTCTTCCCCAGTCCTTCTGCCAAAGCCCCACAGAGAAACGGTGACCCTGCGCCTTGGGCCGCTTCAGGACAAAGAGGCAAATGAGCCGCAGCAGGGCTGCAAGGTCGTCGTCCGAGGACGGCGGCTGCTCGTGGCCCATCCCCACGGCTTCAGCGGAAAGCGCAAGGAAACCTGCACTCATCCTTCATGGAGCAAATTTGAGAACCGGGACTGCCGGAGCCCCTTTCCACAGCAGTGTACCGCCGCCAGGCAGGAGCCCGTCTTCCATCAACAAACCCCTTCCCCGAGGGAAAGTGAACCACAACAAAAACCACCCCACCAATGTGTCTGCTGGTAAGGACAAAAGTGATTTCTCAGTTGGCAAAAACGCCCATCTTTAAACACTTATCAAACAAAGAAAGTCACTGGATCTAAATCAGATTCTGAGAATTTGCAAAAACAAAACGCTTATGCCTAAAAATAAAATAGATTAGGTTTAATTACAGTCATTAATCTTGAATTCCCTAGCTATGTGCATACTTCCCAAAATTTAAGATGAAAACACATGCAATAAGGTGTCTGAGTCCCACAGATCTAGCATCATCCTTTTTTAGATCTCTGCAAAAATTTAACAGATATTTCCTATGGAGAGTTGTTCGTTTACACCACAAATTCAGAGCGCTTGTACCTCTCCCAGACCTCTTTGTTGTATGTGTTGGCAGGAAGCGTGCAGGAGCGGAGGGGATAAGGACTGGCTGATGCGGGCTTTCTCACTTAGCAACTCTGGAAGGTTTTGCCAGCCCCATAAATGCTCAGTTTTCCCTCAGCTACTGCTTTGTTTCATGACATTTTGGCCAGCAGCGAAAAGTGCTGAACAACCGTGGAGGCCATTCGCACCATTTGAGCCATCCTGAAAAGCAACTGAAAGTACAAAGTCATCTTGTGAGAACATGAAATTGCAGACTTCCAGTTAGATAAGATTCATGCTGTTGATACTGGGAAAATGAGTAGGAGAATCCCGCGTGGAGTCCGCAGTAAGTATCCTGCAAGAGTCTTGCAGCAGAAGGAATTTGATATTCTGCCTTTCACTTCTGGTTGTAAAAGAACATAGGTGAAACCCGCGTCCTCGCTCTGCACGCCTCCGCCTGATCTTCTGAGCTGCCAAGTGGATTACAGAAAACCATCTCTAAACCCAAAGATGCAATGGATACCTGGAAAGAGCTCCTCTTTTGCCCTTAAAATTAACCCGGGGGTATGACGAGACTAGGGCGGTAGCCGGGCCCTGCTGCAATCTTTTCGTGAACAGGTTTCTGTTTCCCCAAGGGTTCAACCATCACTTTTCACCACCACACAGCGGCTCAGAGCACTCGCTTTAAACTGGGGCGAGCACTGAACAGTCCAATGCCCTGCTCGATCTGAACGCGACTCATAGCACATACTCCCCAAATCCTACCAAAGGAATGTATTTTAGGTAACTTCTGTTTGAAAAGTTAATGAAAACGTAGTTGCTCTCCCCGAGCGTCAGGAACATATGACCAAGAAACGTTGCCAGTATCTGTCTCGCAGCGAGAGCGGTGTTGGGTTTGTGTGGTATCCTATTTATAACTTTGACAAACAGCTCACCCAATCATCTCATACTTAATCATAGCTGTCTGCCCAGCTCCCTTCAGAGAAATGCTTTCCAGAAAGTATGTGCCAACATATCACGAACAAAAGGAAGCAAACCACATTCAAAAAAAACATTGCTCCCCAAACCATCAAACGGCAAAAGCTCACAAGCCAAAGAAAAACCAGGTCTTGGTAAATCATCTAAGGCATAATTGCAGTGTCATTACTCATGGTACTGCATGGCTATAGTTAGTCAGTGTTTCCACTGCAAACCCCTATTTTCATTGGGGTTTTCAGCTCAGCTGTAAGGAATTAAGTCCAGGATGAAATTTGGCAGTAGACATTTCAGAGCAGGGATTATTTTTTAAACCATTTTAAAATGTGCTTCCCCTCTCTGAATCCCCCTCTTATTTCTGAAGCTGTAGCTGCATGAATAAAAAAGAAAAAGCGCTTCTGAGTGCTTTTTCATGTTTCGTTTCTGCACATGTGTCTGTATGGTTGATGGGACCAAAGATGTCAATTGAACTCAGATTTTTAAATATAGGAGCCTTAAAAGTTTAAAGTTACGATGCCCACAACGGCTGCAACTCAGCTTTCCTTTGGACATATTTAGAAGTATTACTATATATGATGTTATTTGCTACGCACTAATTAAGGGGCCTTTATAGCTAATATAAATCTTGCCTTAACATCTAGTGCCAAAGATGGGTTTCCACTTCATGGGGCAGAGCTGTTAGTTTTCTTTACGCTACTCCACATCTTTCCTTCTGCCAACCACCACCTCCGCGCGGTTATCCGAGAGAGCTTTCTGCTGGACTCGCCCCGCAGCCCTGCCTCCCGGGCCCCTTCCTCCTGCCCACCTGCCTCTTTGTCACACCTCACACTGCAGCACGTACACGCGCAGGGTTGAGGCTACTGAAGAGGAAGGACGAGGAAGGAGGAGAGACTGGAGAAATACCTTGGTGGGACATCTTATCCCAGAAAATATTAAATTGAGCCTTTTGCAACATTGCTCAGGGGAAACAGAGCGCTGTTTATACGCATGAACATGTTGGAAAAACGTATTTGCTCTTTTCCAGTCAGCTCTGGGTGAAGCTCCCTACAGACTCAGCATCTCTGGACCTGAAAGAGCTTCGTTGTCGCGCATATAGACCACACACTAGCGAGGTGCCGCAGTCTCTGGGCACTAGGCCTGCTTGTCACTGGATGCCATGAGCAGGGCACATCAGCGGATAACTTCTCTGAGTGCAATCCCAGCTCAAAGTGCTGTACCATAGCCATCCAGCTTGAAAAAAACCACCGTAAAACTGCGACCTTAAAGACTTGCAAGACCCAGCCTGGAACTCTATTACCACAAAAAGTCCGAGTATTTGTACCAAAAATCTTTGCTACAGAGGTTTTTAAAGAACAAACTAGTTTATTCCAGGTCATTTGGATAACTTGGACCACCTTGCAGTGGTCATGCCATCCTTGGCGTTTCCCACCCAGGACGGACCGAGCTTCTCCGAGGTTGCAAGGATGACAGAGCTGAGAAGGTATGAGGCAGCACTCCCAAGGGCAGCTGCCAGCAAATCACTCCATAACTGCATTATGCTTTTCAGAGGACGAGAACTGTTCCTCACAACACTATCATTTTTGACTGCAAGGAAAGCAAACGTACCACCATCCTGAGCATTTGTGCCAACAATAAGAGCAAAATCTCCTGTAAGAAAGAATTTACTTATCACCGCTACAAATTCTAGCAACTACAGTACTTTCGTTGCAGTCATGGTCTGAACTACTGCCACGTCTTAAAAACTGTATAATGCAGAATTCTTAAATAAACTACTTGCATCTGCTTTTCAAAGCAGCAGTTAGAAATTAAGAGGCAAATAAACTCGGTAAGATTAGTCACGTACCTACGTTCGTTCACAGGAACGTTAGCAAGATCGTGGCTTCAGAGGGCTGGATCACACTTTCTCACTGCAGCAGTTATTAACCTGCCATAACACTTTCATAGGGTAAAAGCTGATAATGGTGCTGTAACTGGCCTCTGTAGACTATGGCTGTGAATAGGGAATATCTTAGAGAAACTGTCATGCATTAAGTGCTGGGCTAAGTGCATAAAAATGGATAAAAGAAAAGCTCTGTAATTTCAGGAATTCACAATTTGAACAAGGCCCATTCTTGACATTTTGGTTATTGAGTCTTTTTCACTTGAATGTCACAAAGAAATGGCAGATTCAGTTTAAACACAAACTGCACGATTTTTTCCTTTACCTCTTCTCCCTCCTGAACGTAGGCTTCCAGGATTCTGCAGCTCGCAACTCTAAGCCACCTCAGAAGACCTTCTGGGCTAGTCAGTAAATGATAACACACTTTCAAAAGATGTATCTAGTTTTCCCAATACTGTGAATCCAAATAGGTATGCTACTCCCCTCTGGGAAAGTCTGTAGCATTTCAAAGATTATTTCACACCCCAGGTCTCAGATACTTAATGAGGTCTAAATCTAGGATCCCAGTAAAAGTGGCAAGCTTTCCTTTTGACCGTTAGGTTCTCTATCTGAGCTCACTGAGAGGTTTTGCTCTTGAGTAATCATATTCTTGTGCATCAGGGCTCACACTGTCACCAGTTTTCTCCTTCTCATCTTACCAGGAGAGAAGGGACCATATTCCCTGGATTCAGAAAGCACTGTTATCAAGGCTGTAGGACTTCCAGATTCAGTTAAGCCAGTGGGACACATTCTTGGCATTCTTAAAGATGCAATCTATTATCTCCACACGTTCACCAGTCTCAGCATTATTAGCACTGGTATAATTCACAAAGGTGCTTCAAAAATATCTTCTCTTTTTGCAAGAGCTTAGAAAAAAAGTAACATCAGTCTGACTGGTCAGTAAACAACATAGGACTATCACTATGGTCGGCATGTTTTTCAGCAATATCTTGCATTGTTTTTTCCCATGGCTCTTCCCACCTTGTTCCTGAGCTCCTGATGTAAACCCAAGTATCAGCAGAGAAGCAAAGGATCGCAGAGCGGGACTAGCAGAGCAGTCATGCTTGTGCGTGGGACGCTTATCTCCCACACCTGCTTAACCACAATGCCTTTACTGACCGATTCGGAGAGCACACTGGAAAGGATTTGCTTCTCTAAGCACCCACAGAAGTAAACACTTCTCAAGTCTTGTCTGAGCTGTTTACAGGCACATCGTGTCCCAGCCTTCAGAGGCTTCCCTTGGGTACTGCTGGGGGACTGCGCCTCTCCTACCACGTGCGCTCATGTAGCTTGAATGCCAGTCATCGGCGAGCCTCAGTGAACCTGCACTGGAGAAAATCCAAGCAGAAGTCTCGCGGGAAAAGGTGCTGTCGCTGGCGATGCTTAAAATAGGCTGGGCAAATAGCTCTAAACATGCTCCACTGAGCAATTCTGTATTTGCTGAAACCACACGGTCTCAGAGGACTTTTTCATCCTTCATTTCCCAGGCTGTTATGACACCTGTGTCTCCCTGGCTGGGACGACAAGCAATGGCAGAGATCGTAAGCTAGGCTCCTGCACCTCTTCTGGGAACCAGGAC